TACCTGCATTATTGTTCAATTTGCAAGATGAATTTTATAGTTGGTATCGAGGGGCACTGCCTCCTTGTGAGGCATGTGGCTCGATTCAATTATCGACTATGATTACGTCTTCGAAATCTTCATGTATTTGTTCGAAGAATTCTCCTTATGTTAACCCGGCAGATAAATGGTTATTACAGAATGCTGTTTTTTATACTGTTAATCGCTTTCTTGATAAATCATCAACAAACAAAAATTGGAGCGTTATGTTAGATCCAAACTATTCGTCATTATCATCATATGAACAACATAAACGAATTAATTATGCAATTTACGATTGCTTTGTCGTCACCTTATTACATCAGGCAATTTATGATAAATGGTCGTTAATTAAACTTCGCGAAGCTCAATTAATATCTTTATTTACTTCAAATGCTCCACCTCATTCGTCATCATTAGCTACATCAACATTTTTGGAAAATATTTCCGACAATGAACATGAAGTAACATCAACATCTTTACTGATTTTAAATGCTCCACGTCATCCATCATCATTACCATTATCAACTTTATTAGAAGACATTTCTGAAGATGAAAGTGATGATGAAATATTTATGTCATCCATTTCCAGACATCATGGTACACATCAAGCAGTTAATATATACAACTCGCCATGTTGAAATTCTTCCTGCTGTAGCTCATGATGATGATGTTATAGAACCTATTGTATCTGATCAAGAATTATCTTCTAATGAACCACCTAAACTACGTCGCAAATGTCGTTCAGTATCAGCTAGAACACGTCGTAATCGCAAACGAAATATGGTCAAACATCTACATCGTGATTAACATATTATTTATCGCAAAGTTTATCACCGATTCAATATTCGTCAGATAAAGAACATCCTTCGTGCTCGTAATGTTCGATATGCCCATTTAACACTTCACAAATCGTCACAAGTCTTATCAATTGGCATGAAAAAACCTTCTCTGGTGGACTTACACTTTGATCGATTACCCGGTGATTTATTTGATAAAGAACATTATCAACATTATCGTCAAAATGAACATTAAAAAAAAAAATTTTTTTTCTTCTTTGTTTTTGAAGTTTTTCCCCTTTTTGTTATTCAGTTGTCTTTCTTTAAATCTAGTCAGATTTTTTTCTGTTGTTGATTTTTTTCTGCAAGTTTTTCTCTCGTTGTTTGAAAAACTTTTTCTTTGCGGGGAGGGGGAGGGTAAGGGTGTCAAGACCTGACCTCTATTGTCATTCTTTTTGTCTTTCCATTCGATATATGATATGTTGTTGTTTTCTTTTCTTTTTACTTATATAACTTAACAAGAGAAATAAACAGTCAGATAAGATATTGTAAACATTGAACTCACTTGCCTTAAAGTTATCCACACATTGGTGGTACAGTATCTTACAGTAGTCTTCATTATTCATATGCATTTTCATTTTTTCGCTGTAATAGAATGTGTATAGCTATTCACATACCGAACACTTTTCTCCTAGAAGAAATCATTTTTTCATTTTTCGATTGCATTTTTTCTATAGATATCTTCATTATTCATATACATTTTCATTTTTCCGCTGTAATAGAATGTATATAGCTATTCACATACCGAACACTTTTCTCCTAGAAGAAATCATTTTTTCATATGTCCATTCCATTTTTTCTGTTGAAGTCTTCATTATTTCTATGCATTGTCATTTTCCCGCTGGATCACAATCTGTATCGCTATTCACATATCTTAGGCTTTTCTCATAGAAGAAATCATCTTTTCACTTTTGCATTCCACTTTTTCTCTAGAAATATTCATTATTCATATGCATTTTCATTTTTTCCGCTGCAAGTGAATCAACAATACCTATTCACGTATCTAACACTCTTCTCATCGAAGAAATCATTTTGTCACTTTGCCATTTCATTTTTTTTGTGGACGTCTGCATTATTCCTATGAAGTTGCGTTTTTTCGGTGAAATTGTATCTGTGTACGTGTTGAAGTACGTTACGGCTCACTATTTTTGACTGCAGCGACATTTTTCTGCTGGAAGTAAGCATTTATGTAACTGATCAATTCAATGGCCAACCCTCGTCCACTATATAATTCAGACTAGGGGTGGCACTTTAACTATATTTTAAAGTTAAAGTTTAAAGTAATACTTTAAACTTTAACTTTTAAAGTTTAAAGTACCACTTTAAACTTTAGCTTTAAAGTTTAAAGTTTAAAGTGCACTACTTTAACTTTAGCTTGTAAAGTTTAAAGTAGTACTTTAAACTTTAACTTTAAAAAATTTAAAGTTAAAGTAAACGTTTTCCTATAAACCAAAATTTTTCTTAAAAATTCAGAAAAATGAATAAACATTTATGAAAGCACCCCTACATCTTCATCCACTGTAAAATGGAGTCATCCATAGATAATCATCCACTATACATTGGAGGTACCCTTGGGGGTAACAGTCTAGAATGTCCTTTCGAAAATGTCCTTGGACGAAATGTCCTTTATTTTTTCGTCCTTACATATATATTGTATGTGAGAGGACGAAAAAATAAAGGACATTTCGTCCGAGGACATTTTCGAAAGGACATTCTAGACTGTTACCTATTAGGAGTACCCTTGGGTCATCAACTACTATACATTATGGGTACCCTTGGGTCATCAACTACTATATATAAGGGTACCCTTGGGTCATCATATACTATATATTGTGGGTACCCTTGGGTCATCACATACTATATATTGGGGGTATCCTTGGGTCATCAACTACTATATATTAGGGGTACCCTTGGGTCATCATATACTATATATCGTGGGTACCCTTGGGTCATCATATACTATATATTGGAGGTATCCTTGGGTCATCAACTACTATATATTAGGGGTACCCTTGAGTCATCATATACTATATATTAGGAGTACCCTTGGGTCATCAACTACTATATATTAGGGGTACCCTTGGATCATCAAGTACTATGCAATAAGGGTAGCCTTGGATAATCAACTACTATGTAGAAAGGGTATTCAATTGTCATTCACTAGGATATAGGGGTACTATCTATAAGCCATCAACTGCTATATAAGGGGTGGGTCTCAACAGTTCATGAACTACTCTATAATGGGGTACCTATCGGTCATCAGCTACTATATAATGAGAATATTGATAACTTTCGACTGCTATAGAAAGTGGGTATTCAGTACTCTGGATTGCACTTTAACTTCATTTCAAAATTTCAGTTTAAAGTGTAAAGGTTGACGTAGTCATATTTTAAGACCTTACTTTGAATAAGTTAAAGTTAAAGTACAGCTACGTTTCAACACTCGTATAGGGGTGGCACTTTAACTTTAAACTTTAAATGTTAAAGTAGTTAAAGTAGTTAAAGTTAATGTTTAATAGCATTTCGAAAAGAACTTAATGCTAAATTTTTCGAGCAATGAGTAAGTCTGAGTTGCGGACAATTAAACATGGTGCTGCAAAAAGAAAGATACTAACGCATCGTAAGTTATTTATTAATGTGAAATTTTTCTTTTTCTATCATAATCTATACCATATTCAGTACAGAGTCGCAGTTGGCTCAGTAGTATCCAATCGCCGAAGTTTATCTTTTGTTTGATGTTTAAATCCGCAGCTTTTGTTCTAACATCATAATGTTTTAATATACACTCATCAATTCATAAGACAACTTGTGCATTTAGTATAGTGTGCACACACCATTACGCTCACGATTCATGCATTCAATAGCATCATATTAAAGTCAGATTATCATTATGGGCTACTGTTAGTAGAGTTGCTAAGTTTATTATCAGATTTTTCTGAATATTCTGGCAATCAGATGGACTCTAAGATCAAATACACAATCAAATATATTAAGCTATTCTCTTCTACCAAAAGGCAACATTATGGAAACGCGACTTATATCTTTCCCTCAAGTTCACAATATATTACAGCGTGTGTAATTATAGGAAGTGGCTATGTGCATTCGAGTACACATAGCCAGTCGGCTATGTGCACTCAAGTAGGTATTATCAACTAGTTACTAAATATTGAGATATATTATAGCCATATATGTACTTCATAATTAACATGAGTAAAATTTATTAATTTATTAATAATTTTACTGTATTTATTTGTTGTTAAATTCATATAGAGTATAACACAAGTATTAATATCAAACAAATATAAAAGAAAAAGTTAATTCAAATAAAAATCAACTCATTTAGAAATATTTCTAGCGCTTGATCTCTTAGATTTTGAACGAAATGGTTGCATTTTATTATTTTCAATACATCGGACGGAAACTATATCGATGCCAGTGTTTTTCTTCCCTATTAATTGTGCCTTCTTTCTCTATTGATAATTTATAGAACGAAAGATTCTACGTTTTCTTGATTAATTAGCTTAGAAAATGGGAAATTGAAAAACATAAAATTCCAATTAGCTTTTAATCTGGAACGAGATATCCTTTTTTTAAGACCCATTGATTAATCCTCACTAAAGAATAAGAATTAAAACAAGATTATAAACTGAGATTCTTTCAAGATGAGAAAAATATGTGTCAAAATTAGAGATACAATCAGAAACGAATGTAAAAGAAAATTTTATCATTATTGTTTTATAAAAAGATATTTTTATATGATTAATGTTAGTTATATTGAAAATAATGAAAATACAACTATTTCCTTGAAAAATTTAAGAGAGTATGTGCTAGAAATATTTGTAAATTAGTCGATTTTTACTTCAATTAACTTTCTCTTTTATATTATTTTGATTGTAATACTTGGTTTGTATCTTATTTGAATTTAATAAAGACTA